TCCCTCCCTTCCACAACCATGACCCGCGCGCAGGCCCCTTCACCGATCTGCCCTACATCGTACAGATCCTCCGCCTGACTTCGTCCAAGGTGGAGCGCGATCGCCTGCTCATCTTCCTGGACAAGCTGCTCATGCTGCGTGAGAACGTCAAGGCCTTCATCGAAGCCAAGGGCATTCGCCTCTTTGTGGACCTGCTGACTCTTGCGCACTTCCACATTGACCGTGCCCAGACCCCCCTGCAGTCGAACCTCCTGGAGGCCGGCGACAGCAAGCCCCAATCCGAGAAGGAGTGGTACTACAACGATGCTTCCAACAACAACGCCCAGACGGGCCCCTTCGGCTTCGACGAGTTCAAGGAGCTCTTCCGCACCGGGGTGGTACGTGTCGCGCCCGTTTCCCCCTGGCCGCCTGGGCCTTCGCCTTTTGCCACCTTCTCGGCCCTCCGCCCGGGGCATCTCCTCTCCCCCCCCCCCCTTCTTGCCCCTACCCGCCGTGACTGACCCGGCTTCATCGCCACAGATCAACAACGACACCCGCTGCTGGGCCCCTGGCATGGATGGCTGGCGCAAGCTGTCGACCGTCGCCCAGCTCAAGTGGTCTCTGGTCGACGGCAAGCCCGGCATCATGAATGAGACCCAGGTGGCGGTCCTGGTGCTGGACGTCTTCAACCGCGTCTGCCAGATGTTCCCCACGCGCGAGGCCGATGGCGCGGTCATCCGCCCGCTGCCGAAGATCAAGCGGTGCGCATCTCTTCCCCGACCATCTTTTTGTGCTGCCACACACACACACACACACACACACACACATTTGCAGCCCCTTGTCCCGGCAGGCGCGGGAGCTTATTCGCTTCTATTGACCCGACCCTTCCCCCCCCCTTTTTTCCCCCTCCTCTCTCCCCTGCCCGCCGCCCGCCAACAGCATCCTGTCCGAGTCCACCTGCCTGCCGCACCTGGTCAATCTCTTCCTCACCTTCGACCCGACCCTGGTGGAGAAGACGGCCACCCTGCTGACCAACATCATGGAGGACAACCCCAACATGCCGAAGCTCTTCCAGACCGGTGCCTTCCTCTTCTCTCTCATGTACACCGGGTCCAACCTCCTGCCGTTGGTTCGGTTCTGGGAGGCGACACACGACAAGCAGGCCTACCGCAACGACGACGAGCAGCTGTTCCTCTCGCATCCGGACGCCGCGCGCAGTGTCCTGTCGCCCATCCTGCCGGTGGCCATGGTGTGCTATCTGCAAAACCACGGCCACGAGAAGTTCTCCAAGATCTTCCTCGGGGACTTCGACACCCCGGAGGCCATCTGGTCGCACGAGATGCGCCGGCTGATGATCGAGAAGATCGCCGCCCACATCAGCGAGTTCACCCCGCGCCTGATGTCCAACACCTATGCCATCTACTCGTACCACCCCATCCCGACCATCCCCTACCCGCAGCTGGCCGACGAGCTCTTCTGCAACATTTACTACCTGCGCCACCTGACCAACACGGCCAAGTTCCCCAACTGGCCCATCAGCCGGCCGGTGCGTCACCTCCGGCCCATGTGATGATGTGCCTCCTCTCCCCCTGCCCCACGTACACCCGATGACTTACATGTCTACTGTGTCTCCCCCTCCTGCCTGTCCCGCGCGCTTGCCTTGGCTCGTGGGCGTGTGTGCGCACACGTACAACACATATACATGCATGCGCAGGTGGAGCTGCTCAAGGACGTGCTGGATGCCTGGAAGCGCGAGGTCGACAAGAAGCCGCCTGTCCTCACGTACGACAGTGCCCTCAGCGTCCTCGGCTTGACCCCGGAGAAGACCTATCTCGAGGCGGACATCCGCAAGGCCTACTTCCGCATGGCGGCCAAGTACCATCCGGACAAGAACCCCGATGGCCGCGAGATCTTCGAGTCGTACGTCATCCGCGTGTGCTTGTTTGCTTGCTTGCTTGCTTGCTTGCTTGCCCCCTCTCCCTGGGCGACG